AGTTTACACTATTCTTGAAGTCCAACGGATGATATTATTTACACCACAAAAGGTTAATTTATCTGGGCCAGGGATTTAGCTCAGTGGTTCTGGTGCCTGCGTCGCAAGCCCAAGGTCCCAGGTTCGATCCCCGACACCAAAAAAAAAGGTTAATTTATCTTAGCTTGATTCAAGATGCAATTTCCAAAGCATGGTACTGGGGAGGCTATGCCAGAGGGACATAAAACAAAGATCCCTCCTTCTCTTTCCCTCTCTGTACTGACCTGTTAGGCAGAGGTTAAGAGGCTGGAGACATTTCCACTTTTGGAAACACCGAGTGTAAGGATAAGTTAAGAAAACAAGGGCTGGGCCGGGGATTTAGCTCAGTGGTTCCACCGCCTACCTTGTGAGGGCAAGGATCCGAGTTTGATCCCCGGTACCAAAAAAAAAAAAAGGAAAAGAAAAGAAAACAAGGTCCTGAGCTCGATCCCTGGTACCGGAGGGTAGGGGGAATAGGACCACAAAATTTGTGGCATATTTTAAACACTTAATGCTTTAAAATCAATACTTTCACCATATAGAGATAAAAGTATGGTTGTGTGTATAACTTGGATCCCTAAATAACAGGAAAATTTAAAGGAGGCCGTTGATGAATGCTCCCCATGTCCTCCCTTTTGCCTCGGAGTTCTCGCCTGGTCATGAAGCACATCTCTCCGTAAGCCCCTCCCGTGGCTCTTGGCCTCAGAGGGGCCTCGGAGAGTTTCAGAAGTATGAGATGAGCGGAAGGAAGACCATGTTGGCTACATGGCCACTAGGGCAGGCCCCTTCCTTCCCCTTCGACGCCCAGATCCCAAGCTCGCTGACCTAGGAGTAGCCTTCAGGTCTCACACGTTCTCTTGGTACCCAGCTAGCGGGCTCTACGTTCCTGACTTTTCCATCCCAGATGTCCGGGTACTCAAGACCCAGTCCTCCCTGGAGCATCTCCCGAGTTCGCGAGAACAAATCTAAGTGTCCATACTCTTCCTTCCAAAGTCACTTCGGCATTTGAGCCGAGAGTCCGGGAGCTCTCCCCCGCCGCCCAGGCCTTGAAGCAGCCCGGGGGCCCGCGAAGGTGCGTGGGAGGGGTGGCCCGGAAAGCCTGGGCCTGCGGACAGCCGGGATCCAGACCTGCGCGCCCTGTGAGCGCCTGGAGAGCTGGGCCGCGCGGGGCGGCCGGCTGGGGGCGCAGCGAGTGGGGGGGCCCCAGGGAACCCCGCCCGGCCCAGCCCAGACTTTCCAAGTCCCGCGAAACTGGATAAGGCTGAGCATCCCGCAGTGTCCAGGAAATCTAGAAGGCCGGCCCGATCTGAAAAAGAGCGCGTTCAGCCTCAGCCCCCTTTGCCCTCGAGTTTGCAGACCACACAGAGCATGAGGGAAGCCAAAACGCTGAACGCTGCAGTGCATGCTAGAGGCTTTCAAACAGGAGGTCTCCGGGCCCCTCGCGCGCGCGCGCGCGGCCTTGGGCTCGATTTCAGAATCCGAGTTTGGATTTGACCCCGTCCTCGTCGGGCTCCCCAGGCATTTCGAAGCGTGCGTCCATCAGGCCGCCGTGTGGTTGGGTTGGAGAGTGTAGGGTAGGCTGCACGCTCATAATCCCGTGGCGGGTTTGAAGCACCGCGGCCCCAACGCCGCTCAGACGCGGGACGAGCTCGCCCCCTGGATCCGACCCGCGCCGCTCGTGCGCCCGCGCCGGCCGAGTCGTGCTCCGCTCCACGTGGACGGGGTGCGAGGGGCCGCTTAGGGGACGGTGCACTGCTTAGGGGAGAGAAGCCACGGCGCTCGCTACAGCGGACGGCTGGAGCCTGGCACGAAGCCACCTCCGCACAACTCTGATTTGCCTGGTCGTCGGTTCGCTGGACCCTGCAGACCCCGATCGTGCGTACCGCGTTCCCTCAGAAGCATCCTCGCCGATTTAGAGCCAAGTCCCCGTGTCCCTCTTTCTAATTCCCTCTGCCAGGAGCCTGCTAAAATGCAGTTTGTAAAAATCCCTCTCTGCCTTTCTTGCCTCCGTTCCTCCCTCCCTCCCTCCTCCCTTCCTTTCTTCCTCCTTCCTTCCCCAGTCTGGGGGGCTCGGGCTGAGCGCCGTTCACTCCCCGGCGCCCCATTCTGAGGGTGTGGGGAGCCCCATCCCCCACCTCGTCTCAGGAAGACTCGCGTCTGCAAGACTGAGGGGTTCCGCTTTGGCCCTACAGCACCCTTGAACGGCCAAGTCCCCAGTTAGAGCCACCTCGTAGTGTCCATAAATCGGTTCCAGGCACTCCCAGCTGGGCCAAAGAGCCGTTTGTATAACCACGCTGCGATGGGTGCAGAGCGTTTGCTTCAGCCAAGTTGACCCCTCCCTACAGAAAGTTGTGTGGTTGTTGTTGTTGCTGTTGCTGTTTTAAGTAGCTTTCCAGTTGCAGAGGGCTGCTTCCTGATTCTCTCACCCACCAAGGCAGTTTGTCACTATGGCCCTTCACCTGACATGACGCCTGAATTTCTGAGTTAAACGCTGAGGTCTTCTCCTTTGGCAGGTGCAACGTCACTGCAGCACAGTTTTTGGCACAATGTCGTTAACTTATCTTTTAAATAAGGGGAAAGGCGGGGGGGGGGGCTCTTCTTGATCCCTCAGAGGAGACTGTGGCCAACAGATTGGAGACTTCCCTGTGGCTGGGGTGGGACAGACTCAGTTAATAAGCCCTGTGGCTTCCTCACCTTGAGCCACTTCAGGCTGCTTCCGAGGACTCCCCACTCCCCGGCAGCCCACACCCCACCACGGAGAGGACAGCAGTTCAGCTTCTTCTTTCAGTGAATTGTGAAAAGGAGAATAGCTTTTATCCGGTTGGGGCGTCCTTTATAAGTCCTGATATTCAAAAAAATAATATGACAAGGGAGGCAGGAAGGAATCATTCAGTTATTTCAGTAGCTACTTTTTTATGAAAACGCTGGTGAACACACACATGTGTTATCTTCACCTTTTCCCCTTCCACCTTTCGTTGCAGCAAATGTTTCTACTACTGACTTTCAATTTTGTGTAATACCCTTCCCTCTTTCATAAGCCATGAGTTACAAATACACACTCCTTAGACTGTTCTTTTAAAGGTCACTGTTGATTCACACCCCTTCCCCTCCCCCACAACACACACTCACACAGACACATCTCTCTGGTTCCAGTTCGTTGAAAAGTGCATAACTTTTCTTTTAGTACACCCTGACTCATGCTTTTCAAATTGATATTGGGCTGTTTATCTTGAAATATAAAATGAATTATTGAGAAACAGGCTTCTGAGAAACTGTTTAGTTTTCTACTTGGTAATCTTTGTTTTTCAAGTTTCCTACCAAGGGCTTTAATTAGGGCTTATGTTATCCCCCCAAATCCTTCTTTAGATGACCAGTTGTAAAACAGTAAAATAATTGTTGCCAAAGAGGAAAGCAGTTGAGATCGGTTTTGTAAAGGGATTCATGTGAGCATTTATCTTTCTTTTATTTTGAACAGTTTGTGGGAAGAAAGGGAAGAATAGTTTGGGCAATGGGGCAGGGGAGCAAAGATAGAGAACCCATTGAAAACTTGTTTTTAAGATGAAAGGCAGTTTTTCCAGACTATTGTCTTGCTCCCAATAACAACACACAGAGCAGAAGTCATGAAAGTGGATTACTGTCACCCTGGGCTTTGGGTGGCCTGGAGAGAGCTGGCCTGAATTCCTGTAGAAAGGTAGAGGAACCTAGTCAGACAGTAACAACTTCCCCTGCAGCGCCCCCATTGCCCGAGTGTTGGGGGCTCACCGGAAATTGATACACACCTAGCTGGGTCTAGGTTGTAGGCCTTCCCCCTGCCCCCCAAAAGGAAGCAAGGCAGGGGTGGACCACAGAGGAGTCAGCTGGGCGGCTGTAGGGGTGGCCAGAAGGGATGGGGCGCTGCACCTCAGGACTGCGGCCAGCAGACCACCCCCACCCTCTGCATGGCTGCAACCACTGAGTCAGAGTGAGCTGGGGTGAATGAAAGAGGCCCAGGATAAGGCCTGGTGGGGCTAGAGACTAACCTTTAGCTTGGCCCACTCGCCTTGGGCTCCCACCTGAGGTTTCTCAGGATTGGAGACCATGGCAGAGGGAAGCTGGACTAGTGGGAGCTGGCAGAGATGAGGATAAAACAAGACAGCAGATGAAACAAGTCCTCAGTGGTCTGCATGTTTGGCTCTTCCAGTTGTGCATGGCCAACCAGGGAGCAAAGGAGAAGAAATCCTCATTTTCTTCACTCACTCTAGCTGAGGTTGCTGGTCTCCTCTTCCCCCAGCCCTCTGTGTCGCCCCACCAGGACCAAACAGAACTGAAACTCCACTGCCTTTGCTTCTACTGAGCCTAAAAACTCCGAATTTGATAACGTTACTGCACCACTGATACAATTGCAGATTTGTGGCGACTCCTGCAAGAGACAAATGTTTGGGCTGATTAAGAATTAAGGAGGAAACCTGCAGCTGTACCAAGGAATAATCTATTGGACAAATATTTTAATAAAAAATATGAAGAGATCAGCCTGACCTTGCAAGGTCTTCTGCTTTAAAAAAAATCTTTATCAAACCCCTATTCTATGGCTTCAATAAACAGCACCCATTACCTCACGGTATCTTTTGTTGGCCCCATACAAGAGAGAACAAAATGGTTATTCAGGGGAACGCTTTCGATTTTTATTGTGGGTAGTCTGCACAAAGAGCCGTGTTATTGTATTTAAAAGAACCATCTGTAGCAGAAACAATGGCATCAAATTATCTTTGAATACCCACTGAAAAAACATAAAGCTTTTTTTTTATTCTTCTTCTGTACGGTGGGGGGGGCAGAGCAGTGTTAGGATAACTGACTTTTTTGTTGTTCTCTGGGTGCATTCTTCTCGCTCCCCCTCTCTCTCCCCCTCACCCTCTCTCCTCTCTCTCTCCCTCTCCCTCTCTCTCTCTCTTTTTAAAAATCAGCCATTTGGGGTTTTAAGCCATAAACGATTTTTCTTGTTGCAGGGGATCGCAGTGGCAAAGCTAGGCTAGGTCTGGAGGCTGGTGTGAGAGGCGATGCGGGCGAAGGCAGGAGGCGGATGGGGAGAAGAAAAGCCGAACTGGATTCACGGTGCCTCGGATGGAGGCTGAGAGGGGAACTGCAAGCTCCTTCAACTCGTTCTGTCCGGTGAGAAGCGATCCAGCTTGGGCTGACAGGAGGCTCAGGAAGCCCTCACGTTCTTTGCTTTTTTTACCTGCCAATCAAACTGCTACAAGACAACACCCTGATCTGGCGTGGACATGTAAGTAGCTTGCAACCCAACTTTGACATTCACTATAGCTCACTCCCCCCCACACACACACACACACTTTCTTCCCCCTCTCGTTCTGGGATTTTTTTTTTTTTGACCTTTAATAGATCTAGAAATACATCCTGTGTGGCAATCATTTAACACAGGCAGGTTGAAGCCTGAAAGAGTTAACTTTTGGAATTAAATGCTAATCGAGATTTAAAACAAAAAAACAAAAAACAAATGCAGATTGAAATGAGGTGATTTTATTCCCCTTGAACAGTTTTAGGCCTGAACATAATCAGTTGCCTCGCAAGGATGAATGTGTTTCTTTTTCTATGAAAATGAAGAAATGGATTCGTGAGCCTACAGAAATAACCCCAATAGTGAAAAAATCCAGGCTTCCATCTTTAAAAAAAAAAAAATGTTAAACTCTGGTATTTCACTCCTACAAAAAGAGCCTTCTCCAGACCAGGGTTTCTTAGACTGGAAAGAGCGAGCTGATTGAAAAGTGCGTGTCATTGAGGGCTCGCTGCTTCTTCAACCTGCTTCTTCCTGTGTCGGAGTGTTTGGAGGTGGGAGGGAGCTTGCAAACAGAGGGGAAGGGGACATGGCGAAGTCTCGTTCTTCAGGAAAGACTAACAGAGAGGGAGCTAGAAACGCAAGGGGGCAGGATACACAGGAAATCCTACCTGGGAAAAGGAATTACAGAGCACGGCGAAGCTGCAAACTGGGAGGGCTTGGGTGGGAAGTTGTGTGAGGGGCGAGGGGGGCTTGCTCTCTGGCGCCCTCTAATGGCAACTCGAACAATGTTTACTTTCGTAATTCAGTCCGGGGGAAGGCAGCTGGGTTTTTGTTGTTGCTGGATTTTTTTTCCCCCTTCTCAGACTTTAAAAAACAACAACAAAAAAAACGAACTAGAGACTCTCAGCAAATTGACTGTTTTCAACGTATGAACTTATGCATGTGCCTTCAAATCCTCCATGTTTTCTCCCCGAACATCCCTTCCTCTCCCAGAGTCTTGTTAGACTGAGGAGAGCTTCCTTCCCCGCAAATTGATTTATGAAGGGTGGTCCACGCCCAGTTAGGAATTCGGGCCCAGAGCTTCGTTTCCTACCTGAACAGCATTCCGACTCTCGGAATACACTCGAGAGGTGCGAGGAGGTGGAGTGGGAAGAGATGATTTGGAAATTGCAGATTCTGACACAGGCTCATTAGAATACAATTTAAAGGGGGCTCTCAGGACCCTGTGCGGCTGCGACATGTGGTGGTCAGGGGGGTTTCCTTCCCGCCTCCTTTTTCTTTTTCTTTTTTTCTTTCTCTTCTTTCTTTTCCTCATTTTTTTTCTTTTTTAAAAATTTGGTAGATAAAGGTTAATCTTGGGCTGAATGGTAGAGCTCTGATTGACAGGAGAAAAGGTGTCGAGGGCAGGTCGCGCTGTCTTATTTACAGCCCACTGCTTGCTCAGAGTCTTTGTTAGGACTGGAAAGCTAATTTAGTGCTGATCAAAAGCACCACAGAGTTAAAGGACTGGTAATGACTGCTAATTTCATTTCAGCCTCATGCAAGCCCAACTGCTGTAATTAAAGACACGCTATTTAAATACAGGTGAAGGGTTTTGTTTTTTTTTTAGGTTGGGGTGGGGGGTGAATGGATTACAATTTTATTTAGATTTCTAATATTTGGGTGTTATGTGCTCCGACAGCAGATTTTTTTATTATTATTATTTACAGGTGCTTCTTGTCATTTATACCTGGCTTGGCAGAACTGGCAGTATGAAATGTGTCAGTCACACACACACACAAAGACCCTCCTAAGGAGGTAGGGGAGAAGGATGCAGAGGAGAAACTATTTAGGAGGCATTTAAATATTTGGGTCTCTCTTTTTCCCCCTTGGATTTAATGGAAGGGCCTTCAATATAGCTAAAAGTATTTGAAACTTGGGGCAGGGTGAACAGGCCAGAGAGATCAGTGTCAGCTTTTAAAGTACTCTAAAAAAGATCATGTGAACAGACAGGAAAATATATTTTAATTAAATAATTTCCCCCACACTAGAGCTGCAGTATTGGCTCAGAAACCTTGTAATTTCTCAACTGATAGGAGTTTCTTTATGAGAACATCAAAGGATAAAAAGCTCTACATTTTCGTAGTTGGTTAAAATTGATAACCACCCCCCATACACACACGCACATGCACACACACAACCCCCAAAAAGAATTTAGCCTTTAATCTCTTTTTATCCACGAAGACTAAAGCTCTGTACTCGACCCCTTGAGCGTTTCTCGCCTTCCGGGGCTGGAACCCAGCTCAGATGTGAAGCGGCGCTGAGCCGCCGCGCAGGTTCGTGCCCAGCGCCCCCTGTTGGACACAGTAGGCGCTGCGCAGCGCCAGTCCTGGAAATCGCTAGAACCTGGCTCTGGGGTTACAGAAAACTCTTTATTACCCTCCAGAAAGGAAATAGGGCGCGGAAACAAGTTTTTATATCCTTAAAAGATATTTTAATTCAATAAACACTAAAAAGGAGATAATACACTTTTAATGCAATAAAAATAAAAGACTCATTCCTCCTGCTCTGCTCCCAGCCAGCCCCCACCCCCACCCCCCCACACACCCTCACCCCCGTTTGGTTTTGGGATTCCCTGGAAAGGTTCTTGGGACCCGACCGTAAAACAGGTAGAGAAACACGGCGAAAGACAAAACAGCAAAAAAATCTTTCCCGAGGCCACGAAGAACCAAGCAAAACTACTTTCCCCGTTTTTTTCCGCACCCCACAAAAAAAAAAATAGAAAGAAAAGAAAAAAGGAAGAGAAAGGGAACGATGCACTGCTTGCTATTTTGACGTTTGTCAGCAGCATTTTGTGTTCTCTCGGAGGTCCTGGGTGTGTTGTAAAGAAGCCTCTGAGTAAACGAAGTAACTTGTTTCTATTTGTGTATTTATGTCCAGGGGGCAACTGTCAGCGCAGCCACTTCCCTAAACGTTTCCCATCCCCCAAAACAGTCTTGCCCAAACTTTTCCTTTCCTGTCAAGAGGCTGAAGCCCAGATGCTGTCCACCTAACAGGTGCCTGACATCTTGTCTTTTATCTCGGCCTGGGATCTCCGGGAAGATCTGCCAGTGGTCAAAGAGCATTTTCTTTGAAATTCAGCATCTCACTGACCAGGAATCCAAATTATCCTAGGGAAAGGGTAGTATTTTTTACACTTCTAAAAAACTACCTGCCTACATAAGAAAGGGTTTTAACTTTCTTTGACCAGCAAGGGAAAGCAAAGGGTCCTTTGAATTATTTCAGAAAGAGAAACTATTTTTTAATGGAACATTCCCTAAATTTAAGACAATGAGGAAAAGTGTGTTTCTTTAGTTGTTTCAAATCAAACAGAAACAGTTCTGGTGATAAATGAACAAAGTGGGGAGTTCCATCTTCGGGGATATGCTTCTGATTTTAACTTTTAACCCTGAAAAGTTTAGGGCCTGCTTTTTTTTTTTTTTTTAAGTTTGCTCATTGACGGAAACTAGCCTAGTTTTTCATAGCAGAATGGCCTTTTTAAAATCGTCAACGCTGTGGCAATGAAAGCTTCCTGTTGTCTTGTGAGTGTCCTCCACCTCCCCTAATTAGCGGCCCGAGGTTGCCTTTTTAGGGAAACTGCCGTCCATGCGATGAGACGCCTGCTCTCCGATTCCAGAATCGGATCTCGGCTTGGGTATTAACTAAGTAAGTTCAGATGCAATGTTGGGGAAAGAATCAAGCTTTTGATAAATCTCTACCCGGAATTCTACTGAAATGACAGGCAGGCAGGATTCCCTGGCACGGCTTCCCGACCAAGCCAGACAGGAGTCGGGCTTGGGGAGCCCGGGTCGGCCCGGTGAGTTTAGGAAACCAGGACAGCGGAGGTCTAAGGCTTCAGCCTTAGGGTGAGGGGCGAAGGGGCCAAAGCCAGCACGTCCAGGAGCGGCAGGGAAGGAGGGCTTCCTGTTCTTCAGAAGTGATGGAGAACCTGCAGTAGCAGAGTCCCGGAGATTTCAACCCGGGCCCATTCTCCAACTCGTAGGGAGAAGACTTGGGTGCAGGCAGGGGATGGAGTCGCACCTGGCTGCTGTCCCCAACTTTCCAAGGCCCTTGCACAAAGCACAATCCCTGGTGGAGGAAAGAGAACTGAACAAGTGGGTGGCCCAGGCCACCCAGGGCCCCGGGGCAGTTATTTCAGGGGTCCCCGCGCCAAGGCGGCCCGCAGGAAGGGAGCCCCTCCGCCTCCGGGGCGGGGCCGGACAGCGGTGAGGACCCTGAGGAGCAGCGAGGCCGCAGGCGCTGACGCCCCGCTTCTCTGCCCTCGAGGGGCGGGGCTGCGCTGTGGGTCTCTGGCCCGGCGTCCAGGCCTGGGCCTGCGGGCTTGGCTGGGCGCCCTGCTTTGTAAGGAGCCAGCTTTGCCCGCTTCTGTGGGCGAGCCAGGCGGATGGGCCAACCCGGCTTAGGCCCCTGGGTCAGTGCCAAGTCCTCAGCCCCTTCTTCCCTCATCCCTCACGCTTTCCTGATGACCCCAGGAAGCAATCTGCATCCTCCACCCCAGGCTGAGGGGTCTGGAGCTCGGTGGGGCTGTTTGGAGGTGGATAAAATGACTCGTTAATTCCAAGGTTCAGGGAGATGAGCCCTCGTTCATTAGGTGTACTCTTTTAGTTTGCTTTTTAACTCTGGAAAACCTTTCACCCTGACGAGCCAACCCTAAGACAAATGCCCCAGGGAGAAGGCCCAGCCGGGCTTGGGGGAGCTGAGGTAGAGGCAGCTGCTCACCTCCCTGGCTCAGCCCAGTGCTGCCAGACTTCGATCCTAATCCAAGGCCCAGCAGCTCCGTGGGTCGCTGAAGGGTGTTGAAACCACAAGTACAACTTGACACCATTGAGCCCACAGCGCTTGTCAATAATCTGTGAATTAGGCGCCGAGATTGTCAGCGTAGATCATAACAGTTTCTGAAGGACTCATTACAGCCTATGGTGTCAGTGATCTCCAAATTAAGGAGGGGG